GGGACTATTATCGGGGATTTTCTGGGGACTCCTATAAGGATCCATTCCCCCCTTCCCTACTCAGAACCAGACAGAGGAGCCCTTAAGCCTGAAGTGCGGCGTAGACATGGCGCGGCTCCAGTCGGTGTGGAACCGCTTTGAGCATGATAACGTCATCCATCACGATGATGTTTGCATGGCGCTGCAGCGAATTGGCTTCGTCGGTCCAGACAAAGAGTGGGTTGAGGAGGCGTTCGAGAAGGTCACGATGTTCAACGGTGTGAGCCGGGAGGAGTTCATGCAAATAGTCGACTATTACGACGAAAAGCAGCGTGTCCATTTCCAGGAGAAGTTCATCAGCTGCGATGAAGATGGGTCCGGTGAGATGGACATCGACGAGTTCGCCGAGTTTCTGCGGGGCATCGGCACGGAGCCTATGAGACATGCCCTCGAGGAGTGCATCGCAGAAATGGATGAGGACGGGTCTGGACAGTTAGACTTCGACGAGTTCTACAAGGTGATGACTCTCCTGGCGCAGCGTGAGGGCTTTTCTCGGAGCGAGGTGGTAGGCTTCGAGGCCGTGTTCCAAAAGTTCGACACCTACTCGAATGACGAAATCGATGTGAAAGAGCTTCAACAGGTCCTGATGTTTGTAGGCATTCCCATTACAGAGGAAGAGTGTCGTGAGGTGGGGGAGGAAATCGACCTGGATGGTAGTGGGTACATCGATTTCCAGGAGTTCCTGATGTGCATGCGGCTTTTTCGGGTCAGTGAGCTTGCCGACTGGAAAGGAAACCTGCAGGAGATTAGTGAAGGGAACGAGGAATCCATCCCTTCCTCGCAGCTGTCTAAGCTCCTGCAGAAGAGCGGCTACTTCACTGAGCAGGCTGTCGTGAATGAAGTGCTTTGCGAGATTGGCCTGGATCCAGCTGCCGAGACCCAAATCGATCTGGGCACGCTCTGGAAGTTTCTCGTCGTCTTCCGGGCACGTGAAGGCCTGTCCTCCGCAGAGATCGCGCGTGTGCGTGAGGCCTTCCGGGCAAAGGCCAGCGGAGATGACGAGGACGAGGACGATGCAAGAGAGATTGCCACTGACCAAATGCCACAGGTCCTCCGCGTCATCGGCTACTCCTTGGCACTGGAGGACCAGAAGCAGCTCACCGCGCAGGTGGACGTGGATCGATCTGGAGCTTTAAACCTTGGAGAGCTCTTGAAGCTGGTGCGCTTTGTGAAAGAGCGGCGATCGAAGGAGATCCAGGCCGTGTTCTCGAAGGTGGACCCCTATGAGACGGGGGTGATCTCCGAGCGGGAGGTCTTTGTCACAGTTGGGTAACATTTTACAATTTTATGGGTACTTGAACCCAATAAGGAATAAAAGTGTGCATTTTTAATCCTATCCCACCAATGAACTATAGAGGTCATGAAAGCCTTGGTACAACTCGGCTGCATCAGGGATGCCGACACCGTCGTTCCGCTCGGCGTCGCCGAAGAGTCTGTGAACGGCTACTTGGGCCACTCCGGCTTCCTCAGGACAGTAGCTAGGTGGCAATTTAGGAAACTTCTTCATTTTCCTTATGGTTCCTATAGAGGTACCTATTCATAAATACTTTTCGGAGCCCCAAACTACAACCCGGGAGGATTCTGCCTAGTTTTCGGCTTCCTGAGCTTTTGCTTCTCTGCCTGGTTCTGAGCCCTCCCAAAACTACAACCCAGGTACAAAAGTTCGATGATCTGCAGCGGCAGCAGTTGATCAAGTCTGGGGGCTACACCGCGGAGCAGATGGAGGCTCTGAGTCGCCAGCTCCTGGGCTTTGGAGTACCATACTTTACTGCTTTTTAACCATACTTTACTACTTTTTGACCATACTTTATTGCTTTTAACCATATTTTTCCTCTTTTTAACCATACTTTACTACTTTTTCTCTTAAAGGAACCATTATGAAATGACAGAGTTTATACTTTTTCTCCCTGGCTACTTAAATTCCCAGGTTCCGGTGCTATGACTGGGATGGAAGCGGAGAAATCAGCCAGAAGGAGCTTGTGGCCCTCATCGTGGACGTTTTCCCAGATCTTGCTTTCAATCCAGATCAGCGCCCGCTCTTGGTGCAAATTGTGGAAGGAGCCGATAAAGATAGGAATGGCAAGCTGAACTTCGACGAATTCTTGCATCTCATGAGAACTGTGGAAGATCTGGGCCATCTCACTCAGCTCAAGAAGGAGAGGAGCGTCATCGAGGATACATACTTCAACACCAACGAAGTGAGCGAATTTCGATCAATCTTCCTGGCACGGACGAAGGGGCAGCCTCGGATGTCGCTCTCCGACTTCAAAGAGCTTGTGAGCCCTGTGTGCCCCATGGGGGATAAGAACAGCCACGAGATCTCGGGCATGTGGCGGGAGACTTGCGGCGAAGTCACGAAGTTGTGCGACTTCCCAGACTTTCTGCTCCTAATGAGGAAGATGATGGACAAAGATTTCTTCCCCATCATGAAGGCAAAACAGCGCAGCCGCATGAGTCGTAGGGTGCTGACACACTCTCAGACGACGATGAGCAGGATGGCGAGTTGACGAGGTGGTCCTCGTCGTGCGTAAGACGCGCACGGGCGTGAAGGGAGCCACCGGTAGTGTTCGGAGGGCTGGCGTCGGAAGTTGCACACCATCTTAGCAACGAGTCACCCATGTAAGACATCTGTGGCCCAAATCACAAGTCACAAAACGTTTCTGCTGATACGAGCCGGCACTCTGGATGGGTGTTTGCTCAAATGTGCACACACAGTTGACCATGATAATGAACCAGCCGCTTCACGCTAAAGCGGTGGAGTGGCTGAGATGAGTGCTCGAAAAGCGGGCGGCGCCTAAAACATCATGTTTCTTGGTGGAATCGGTTGGTGGACACAATTTCGAGGTGACTAGCTTGCATAATTTGCATAGATAGTTGAATACACCGCAAGTTCTTTGAAAGATGCATCGAACCTCAAGCCGAACCGCTAGGTAGCTAACAAAGGACATGAAATAACTGCTAAGAGACTACCTAGCACATCAACTGTGTAAATAGATTGTGATCAGCCGCTTGAACACAGCCAGCTGAAGAGCCAAGTGTGTTTATGTTCATCTAGACGTAAAGGCAACCAGTTCTGAAGAACACTGAGTGTACGACTGCCACTGAGCCAATATGTACCTGAGGAAGTCAGCTACAGGTCGGTTACGACAGTTCGCCACTACTGACTTGCAAAACCGCACCGCGCGATAGCTGCCAGCCGATCGCCGGCTAGACAGGTTTTTCAACTGGGCAGCGACATGCACAGATGAGTCTAGGCTCTCCCAGCTCCGGTCGGCAATATGCATACAACATAATGCAAGTAAATGCGGTGAAGGTAAACATTCTAGAGCACAACCTACACACATCACACTGAATCAGCTTGACAGTTCCACGTTAAGCCGCCTAGGCATGCCACTAGCCTGAGCTCCTGGGGGTACTATAAGGGTGCTATCAGGATACGGGATTTTACGAACATTAGGGGCCTTAAAAGGTACTCTAAGGGTTCCTTTAAGCAGCTTCCCTAGGGGAGCCGGAAGCTTCAGTGGCAGGCAGGGAGCGTCGCGTCACCATCCAGGAAGCTCCCATCAGCTCCTGCCAAAGCCGGGCCCCTTGCTGCTCCAGGGTTTAGGGTTCGGGGTTTGTTTAGGGTTTGGGGTTGAGGGTTTAAAGTTTAGGGAAGAAATGCTGAGGCCTGCTGCAAAAAGGGAAGAAATGCTGCGACTCTTCCTTCCCTGTTCTGCAACAGCAACGCTACTACGTCATGCGTCTTCCTGCCAGCACTAGTATCTCTGGTGCTGATATGATACTACTACGTGGACGAAAGTGACTACTGCTACTGCTACTGCTACTGCTGCTGCCGCCGCCGCCGCTACTACTACTACTACTACTACTACTACTACTACTACTACTACTACTACTACTACTACTACTACTGCGACGACGACGATCACGACGGCGCCTCCTATTACTTCTTCCACCACGACTACTACAACAGCAACTACGGCGACAACAACTACAACTACAATCGAAAAGCGACGGCTGCTGCGGCTGCTGCTGCTGCTGCTACCGCTATCGCCAGCGCTACTACCGCTATCACTACCACTACACCAACACCACGACGACGGCGACGACATTGTAGCCATGCGAAGTTGTTCGTTCTCGCAATATTCAGGCAGACAACCTGAACTGTCGGGCACCTCTACCGACCTCTGAAGTTCCCGAAGCCTTCGGATGGCAACGCTCAACCTTTTTTTTGCTGCACATGAACTCTTGCTAGTGCTTGTTCGCGATTTGGAGCGCAGTTGTCTGAGGGGCTCAGCCAATGCGCTGCCCTTCTGACCCGAACCATGCTCGCCTGCAGAGTCCGAGATGCGAGAGTCCAAACCCTAAACTCATAGTTTCTCCTCTCCTTCCCATTTTTCCTATCAGTATGATTCTAACTACTATTACTACCATTACAAATTGTTAGTAGTACTGTCATTAGAATTAGTGATGAGCTCAGGCGCGGTCACCTTTGTCGACCTCGCCGGACGTGAGGATCGCGAGCGCCTGGGGAACCAACCCGGCGCCATACAGTCTTGGCCCCAGGGGTATCATATATATATATATATATATATATATTATTATATTATATTACAGTACATTATATTACATTACATTATACTATATTACATCATATATATCTATATCTATATATATATATATATATATATATATCCCTCTCTCTCTCTCTCTCTCCAAATCCGTGGATTCCTATAGTCTCCATTGTATTTCCTTTTTTGGATAAACCAATTTTATATTCAGGATCCTAAAAGGTAACCCAACAAGGAACTACTGTGGAGACTATAGGTTTCTTGGCACTTCCCAAAGGGTGCGTCACCATTCTCGACTCAAGGCTCCAGGTGCAGCTCTGTCACAGCCTAGATTTTAGTTAGTCATTTAGTCCCCGCGAAGTGCCATGATGCTTTTCCGTCCATTCCTTCATGCGGTTGTCCTGGCACAAGTCATGGCAAAAGGATTCATGCTTGTCATCGGTGCAGATCATTGACGACTTTCTGCAGGAAGGTGAGGCATCGAGAATCCTGGAGAAGGTCCGTGTGTCCGAACCGCTCATTGATCAAGCTTCCGTTGTGCAACGCATCCGTCAAGCGATGGATACCCCCGAGCCGGCGGGCGTTGGACTCGGTGGATCTGTGATCCCATCAAGGATCGCAACCGGCGATGTGTCTGAGCACCAAGACAATGATGGCGAGGCTGTGACCAACAGCTCATCTGCAGTGATCTATCTCGAGTCGGCGCCCGATGGAGGAAGCCTTGGCAAGCTTATCTTCAAGGAGAAGAAGATGTTTTGCTCCGAGTCTGAAGTCGAGATGCAAGTGGAGGCGATTGGAAAGCGACTCGTCTCATGGGACAACGATGCGTGCCTACACAGCTTCCATGCTCGTCATGAGGGCTCTCGCCACCTCCTCGGCCCCCTGACCTTGAGTCCTCTTGGAAGCATGGTGGGCGTCGGATTTGGAGCGAGCTCGACGACGACTTCAACAGTGTCGGAGACAATGACGAGCTCCATGACAATGACCATGACTGACACAAGCACGGTGACGATGACAATGACGATGACAGACACGATGACAAGCGCAGTTACAATGACTATGACGGACACAATGACAACGGCTACGGCGACTACTGCCACTATGACGGAAACGACCACAGCCACGATGACAGCAACTGTGACGGACACCGTCACGGAAACAGCCACAATGACGGCCACGGTGACACAGGTGCAGGATACGGATACACCCACTGTCAGCGCTGCCGAGGGCTCTGGCCAGGTTTGGTTGCTGTTGTCTTGTGTCCTGTCATGCTTGGTTGTCTGATCTCCTGGAGAGGCAGCGCAACTTATGGGCGCACGGTCTTCCACAAGTCAAGCAATTGCTTGCACGTGTCGCCTGGGCGGCTTAGCATGCCACTGCGCTGGTTAATTTCAGGGTTTCCTTCTGTTGGGTTGTGTTGGCATAATACACATATATACACATACTATATATATATATATATATATATATATATATATATATATAAATAAATAAAAATATGTGTATATATATATATATATATATGTATATATATATATATTCATTCGGCATGCTTGCCATGCCTTCTTGCAGTACGTTAGCTCGCAAGGCCGAGTGGCAGAAGGGTCCCTTTCCTTAGTGAACTCGGAGAGAGTTTGCAGAGGATTTCTGTTGCGAAGCGGGAGTTTTTTGAAAATTAGGGGTACCTTATTTGGGGGTCCTTATAATAGGGATCCTACTATTTAGGGTACTATAGTAGGGTCCCCTATTTTCGGAAACTCCCAAGTAGTTCTAGTCGAGTCGCCTGCATGCTCTTGGTGTCAAAGTTTCTTTGCACTTCAAAGCTGTGCTGCAGCTGCCGTATCTGATTCTCGGACCTTCAGGCATGCAGCATGAAAGCGATCTCGGGAGCGGTAGCGATGCCTACCGCGTTCCAAGCTTTTGCGAGAGCACGTCACTTCCATGATAAGGATTTCAGAAGCAATGCTAGCTGGGATCCCGGCTTGTCCTTGTCAGGTATAAGGAGATGTGCTTCATCAACACATCGCTGTTCCACCTCGCGCACCTCATCACCAAGATCTCGTCAGGCCATGATCGGCGAGTTTGATTATCCGACACTTACCTGGGTTTCAGGGACGACAAACTTGTTGATTCGTGGTTGTCCGAACCTGTTCTTCGGAGAGCGCAGGCCCTGCTTGCCCGAGGTCCACTCTGTTTCAACCTGAAGTTAGTTCCGGGGACGGGCACCGGAGCCTGGGCAAAGGATACGGATGGAGACACAAGAGCTCTAGCCAGCAGCATCCCCAACCCGAAATGCCAATTTTTTCTTAAACTCCGACCCAGGCAACCGAACCCTAAAGTGCCCTACACCGCCAACGCCCACAGTCTCACGAGCTTGTCGCGCACATCATGGCAATGGACTCCTGGATCGTGCCATCCTCCTCTTCTTCTTCTTGTTCTGCACACGCTTCTGCTTCCAGTTTCTTCCCCCAGTCGGGAACAGTGTCAATCGTGAATACTATAGTTCCAGAACCACAAGACCAACTTGAGTCTAGTCGTGAATATCATCGTCATCGTTCTTGTTGTTGTTGCTGTGGCCTTTGCTGCGTGGCCACGGAGGTGGCATCGAGCGGGGCAACCTCTCCGACTTCCGAAATTCAAAGGCTGGCGGTGGCGCTTGATGACTTTTGCATGCGCGCTCGTTGGATGCATGAGGGTGGGACCTCTGTGCATGCAAAAGTTTGAGTGCAGCCGGTGATTATGTTCCAGGGGTCCTTGAAGGCTTCCTGTAACACTCTAAGAGTGAGTCCCCTTAAGTGTTCTTTGGAGGGTTCCGTTAAGGGGGTTTCATGCAGGGTTCCTTAAGGGGTTCTGTAGCATCTTAGGGTTTCAAGTTGCAGGGTGTCGGGGCTTGGTGAATCGGGGTTTAGGGTTTAGAAATTTAGGAGTTGCAGGGTACGGGCTTCGGGTTCGTATATCAAGAGCGGCTGCGACGTGGTTCAGTGTGAGGCCATGTAGTATGTACGATGGTATGCTGAATTATGTTATATACACATGTATCTCTCTCTCTGTCTATATCTATATCTATATCTATATCTATATCTCTATATCTATATATATATCTATATCTCTCTCTCTCTCTCTCTCTATATATATATATATATATATACATATATATCGCACCCACATATGCGTTTCTGTTTTGGGATGTGCTGGGATCTAAAAGGGCAGCAGGTTTGAGGCCATCTTCCATCAGGCAGAATCGGGGCGACTTCCTTTGAAGGTAGTGATGGTGTGACTAGTATCAAGCCTTTCTGTTGTCGAGATCTTGCGTGCCGCGATCATCTGCTCTTCAGTCGGGGTGGCGTGCTGCGTCGATTTCGCATATGTCAGTATTGTACAGTAGTAATCGCAGTTTGGTGAGAAGATTAGTGCTTCTTGCCCTAGAATCGCAAACCCTGTATGCCCTAAACCTCAAAGACTTAAAGCCCCAAAGCTTAACACCCTGCTTGAGAGCACCTTCCTGGAACACCCTTACAGTCCTAAGACCCCATGTCAGACAGCCGACGCGCAGGTCACAATGCTGCTTTCACAGGCGCTGCAGGGCAACTCCCGCACGGCTGTGGTGGCCACGCACGGGTCTCAGTCGCTCCTAGCATTCGTTACTGCTGTGTTACGGTTGGCAACAGAAACCGTACTGCTTGTCTGCCACCCACTGCCCACAAAGCTTTGCGTGGCACTAAGCTTCTGCAACCCTGAACCCCTGGTGTCCTGGGTTTGCCTCGCTGTTGTGAGTGCTGCAACCCCTAAAACCCTAGACCCCAAATCCTGAACTCTCAGCAAGCTTTATGTAGTTGGACCTGACGCCTGAATCCGTGCCTGCCTGGAGCGAGTGTGTCCTAAACCCTATATTGGCCCTGTTTCCTAAATCTGAAATCTCATGGCCAACCCTGCAATGCGGGCTCGTCCCTGCTAGGTGGGAGGCAAAAAGAAGCCCTGAACCTCACCGAGGCTGTCGCCCTGCCAGTCAGCCTTCGAAGATTCGCTGCGGCTCTGCTGCAGAGCTCGGGTATATACTGTCGACTGTATCTATAGGCTACTTTCTCCCCATCTTTCTGTCTGTCGTTCTATCAATCCCTTTCTCTCTCTGTCTCTCTGTCTCTCTGTCTCTCTGTCTCTCTGTCTCTCTGTCTCTCTGTCTCTCTGTCTCTCTGTCTCTCTCTCCGTCTCCGTCTCGGTCTCTGACTCTCGCTCTCTCTCTCTCTCTCTGTCTCTGTCTCTGTCTCTGTCTCCTGTCTCTGTCTCTGTCTCTGTCTCTGTCTCTGTCTCTCTCTCTCTCTCTCTCTCTCTCTCTCTCTCTCTCTCTCTCTCTCTCTCTCTCTCTCTCTCTCTCTCTCTCTCTCTCTCTCTCTCTCTTTCTCTCACATTCCTACATATGTATATATATATATATGTATATTATGTACATGTGTTTATCTATAGTCTATATATACACATACACATGCAGTATAGTGCGGATTACAACAATATGGTCCGATAAGCCAAACACTGCATTGCAATGCATCCAGTATGGCACAATCCAAAATCTGGTGCAATGTAATGCAACGCAAGGCAATATGTTTCAGATATTTCGGTGTAACACAGTATGGAAAAGTATAGTCTAGTTTGCCACGGTATAGTAGAGCCTGGTGCAGTATAGTGTAGTGTCAGTGTGTAGTACGGTATAGTATAGTCCGTTCTAGTATAGCATTGCACAGCATACTATCGTATCGTCTTGTGCCACCGTATGTACTCCAGTAAAATGCGCATAATACTAGAATATACTAGACTATTTCAGATCCCCATATAACTTACCTGGCCTGCACCAGGTCAACTCTGCTACCTGGCTGCATTGAGCAGTGGTTGTGCTGTGTGGATGGTTTGATTTGGGGGAGCCGTAGGCCAAAACTGCCTGCTGAATTCGGCGAAATGAACACCTGGGTTTGAGGACTTCCCGGACGTCTAAACCCTAAGGCCCAACCCTGAGCCCTACACACCAAAACCCAAATCCAAAACCCACAACTTAGCCCGGGATGAAAGAAGGAGGATGAACAACACCAACATCTCAGACCCTCTAAACCCTAAACCCCAAATCTTAAACCCAGAGCGTAAACCCTCAACCTTAAATCCTAAAAATCTAAACCCCTAAACCCTAAGCCGTTGTTGATAGATCGTTGTTGATTGTACTTGACCGCCCCCTCGTGAAGTTTCACTCGTCAGACTCCGAACCACATGCCTCGCCTGGATTGTCCGAGTGTGAGCGCCGAGACCGCCCTAGAGGCTCCAATATCCCTGAATTAAGGAAAATTCCTCAAATCATATTACGGATCCTATTACAACTTCAGGAACATTCCTTAATTAAGGGGTATTGGAGTCTCTGGGTGCCAGGAATTTCGCGGCCTCGGCCAAGAAGATCCAGACCAAGCCGGCCCGGCCCTCGAGCGAATTTGGTAGCAAAGGGGCCTCAAGGACTAGAACTTGGTTCCTTTAAAGGGGTTCCTTAAAAGGGATCTATAAGGGGTCTATGGTATATAGTAGGGTTCTATGGTATAGGGGCCTCAAGGATTAGAACTTGGCTCCTTTAAAGGGGTCCGTCAGGGTTACTATAAGGGATCTACAGTAGGGTTCTATAGTACAGGGGCATAGAGGCCCTCAAGGATTAGAACCCGGTTCCCTTGGGGTCTACAGAAGGGTTCTATGGTATAGGGGCCCCAAGAATAAGAACAGGGTTCCTTGAAAGGGGTCTATAAGGCTTGCTATAAGGGATCTGTAAGGGTAGGCCGCAATAATTAGAACAAGGTTTCGGGGTTATGCTTATAGTATACTAGTTATAGTAGGGATCCCAAGGGGCCTCATGGTTAGAACAGGGTTTCGGGGTGCACTGCGGTATAAGTATAGTTAGCACGGGGGCCTAAGGAAGAGCATCGGTAAGTGTTCAGTCTTGAATCTAACTCAGGGCTCGGATTTCTTGGGGGTTGAGTATATGTAAAAGGCAGTCAGATATTAGGACTTACTGTAGGCTTTGCTTGCAAAGGAACTGAACGCCAAGGGTTTCAATCTGTCTTGGTGACAGTTTAGGGCACTATGTCAGCGGCCATTTGCAACCATTATTGCAATAATAGTGAGGCGGATGTACGAACGGAAGCATCAGCGGTGACAGCACCCAGGAGGGACCTGGAAGCCCGGAAAGCCGAAGTGCCAGAGCCCCCCAAGCCTGAAGCGACGACCCTGTAATTTCCTGCCCACTCGGCCAAAACTGTGCCAGTCGATATCCTAAGCCGCCCCTCCTATACAGCAAAACCCAACCCTAAACCCTAAACCCCAGCAAAATGCCCTTAACCCCAGCCTGAAGGTGGTGAACTCCAAGTCGGTTGAGGAGAAGCTGGTGGAATTGGAAAATGAGGTCCCGGGACTTAGGGGCCTCCTGGGGGACATGTGGACTGCGACAAGCCCTGAAAACACCAGACAAAAAACCCTGTAGAAGTAGAATGTCGATTATGGGTCTAGGGTGATGATCGGTTTGGGCTTACGGACAAGTCCTCGACAGTTTCATCTCCTCACACAGGTCCACAGCTTGCAGATGGAGCTGGCGCAGAGCAAGACGAGCAACATTGACAAGGCGAGACAAGCAAGCCCTGGTTCGCAAGCCACATCTGGCGAGTGCGAGTTGTGGCCCAAGGAGGGTTTGGGGATAGAATTTAGGGCTCAGGGCCCAGCAACGCAAAATCTTAAGGTTTTCATGAACTCCCTATCCGGCAAGTCTGCGGGCGTGAGACCCCGAACTGAACCCTTGAACTCCCAAGTCACGGTTGGTTGAATTCCTAAACCCAGCCCTTCAAATCCACACCCCAGATCTTCAACCCTTTTCCCTTCGTCCTTGCTAGGTAGGAGGGAAAAACCCAACCCCACCGGGGCTTCGTCCTTGCCAGGTAGGAGGGAAAAAGCTCCAAACTCTTGCGAGAGCATAATTCCCAAACCCTTCAACCAAAACCCCTATTCCCGCCGCGTGGACTACAAGGAGCCTTGCCTGCTTTGTGCGAGTGTGACCGTCGAAGCCCACACTTCCCCCCCTCCAACCCCTCTACCTCCCAAAATCCCAGCAAACCTAACCCCTACATCCTTGAACGGGCTGGCTTCAAACAAAAAGCCTTAAACCTCTAACCCCGACCTACTTACCACTAATCAGGGCCCTAAATCCTCGAACCCTCAACCCCTAAACCCTAAACCCTAAACCCCTAAACCCCTAAACCCTAAACCCTAAACCCTAAACCCCTAAACCCCTAAACCCTAAACCCTAAACCCTAAACCCTAAATCCTCGAATCCTCAACTCATAAAGAGAAGAATTCCCTTGGAGGAGTCCGAGCTACTTTCGGCCCAATCCTGGATCAACTACTACAAGCGTTCCTGGGAAGAGGAACCGCGAACCGCGGTTTCAGGGGGGTTTTGTGGGTATAGGGTTGAGGGTTGAAGGGTGGGGGTTTTCTGGGTATAGGGTTGAGGGTGGGGTGCAGGGGTTTAGGCTTTGGGGTGTGGCGGGTTAATGGGGATTTTGGATTTCGGGCATGGGCTTGAGGCGTGTAGTGTTTCGGGTGAGTTAGGGTTTGGGTACAAGCTCGGAGGTCCAACGGAGATTTGCGAGCATTTCTGGTTTGATTACCCGTCTTGTCTTGAGCTGTGCGAAGTCACTGCACTGCGTCGTCCATGGCTTCTTGCCGTTCTACTGCTTCTCCCTAAACCCTAAACAGGGTTGCGGGATTCGGGATGGCTGCGCTGGCGTGACGTAGCAAGCCCGTTGCCAACACCGGGCGTAGGGCTGTTCAAGATTCCGCATCCCTCGTTTTCCTCTGCCTTTGGTGCACTGCTGTCCCCTTCCAGGCGTGCCAGCGGTCGGAGCAGTCGAAACTGGCCAGGCGAGTGAGGTGAAGGGTTTGGGGATCAAGATGGCTAACATCCATGGGGACGAGATGCGAAACGAGTTAGAGATGCATGCCGGTACACAACGAGGCCTGCTGCAAAAAAGCGTTAAAGATGCCCTTTCTGCGGGGAGCCAAGCAGACTATATATATATATATATATATATGTATATATATATATATATATATATATATATATGGATGGGGACTGTAGGGGGAGGAGTTACTGACTATCCCGATGCCGAGATCTCGTGCCAGGACCCGCAGCGCCAAAAGGCTTGGGCTCGCCCAGAGCGGCAAGCGCGGCACCTCAGAGCTCGCGGCCGGGCACCAGACTCTTTGGGATTTTACCAAGAGCTCCATCTTAGACTTACCTTTGGTTAGTGGGAATGGAAGAAGGGGTACAATTATAACTACTCTTACTACCATTCTTCCATTTCCTACTAGCCAGAGGTAAGTGGAAGGCTCCGTGCAAGCTTTCTTTTAGTCTGTGCCTTATGTGGGGTTATGGTTTCTTGTATGGGGAATTTCCACATAGCAGGTTTCTTCTTACAAGAGAAGCGGAGTGGAGTCTGACTAGAGCATAGCCCGTCGCAATTATGTCAAAGCGTATTATCGTATATAAACTTTGATGACAGTTTATAGACGTATCCTATTATCGTAAAGTATCAAAACTCTACATAATCCCCAAACCTTTCAACACAAGGCTTGGGGGTGATACCCTCGCATCATCTCGCGCCCGTCCCCACATGCTATGTCGGCTCAGCTTAGTTGTCTGACTGTTTTTGTGAACGAGAGTGGCCCAGAGACTCCAAAACCCCTCAAACCGCAAACATATACATATATACATGCACACAAGTAAAAAACTGTGTATATATATATAGATATATCATATATGTATACATAGTTATTTAACCTTAGACCGTGTTAGTAAGGATCCCCCTATACGGAAGGCATAATCCTTAGTTCAGGGGTTTTGGAGTCTCTGAAGCCTCGCGTGACGGCTTCCTGGACTTCATGACGGGCTGCTCGAGCCGTGGAATCCTCAGCTTGAGGGTCCAGGGGGCGGGTTTAGGGTTTAGGGTTTAGGGGTTTAGGGTTTCGGGGTTTAGGGTTCAGGGTTTCGAGTCGAAGGTTTTGGGGTAAAGGGCTTCCGGGCGAAGTAGGGAAGCCTGCTGCAAAAAGGGGTTTAGTGTTCTTAGGCTTTGGGGCTTAAGGTCACTGTTTCCGAGCTCCTAGCCTCGTCGGAAAGCGCTTGCTTACCCTAAGGCCCCAAAGTAGTTCCTTTTTTGTCTTCATATTTAGAATCCTATAAGGTAATCCCCAAAAGGAACTGCTTTGGGGCCTATGCGTAGTGAGGGTGTGGTGTCTTTCCAGAGAACCGGGCACACGTAGTAGAAGACTTCCCTGGGCTTTGTCGAGACGATGACGCAGATCCAAGCTTTGTTCCTTGACGGCCGGGGTACATGTTTCAGGGTTTGGGTGTTGCAGGTTGCTGAAAAGTTTTTGAGCTTGCAAAGCTAGCAGGGGGTGGCTCTTGCTCGCGCGGGTGCGTATTGCTTTGGAGGCGTGCTCGCCCTCTTCGTCTGGGTGGGCTTCAAGGTGCACGAGGCCGGTTCTAAAGCTGAATCAAGCCGGAGATTCATCGAAGCGAACTGTCTCGTGCTTTGGTCAGCGAATTCATGAGTTTGATGGGTGCTGCCGTCGTTAGGATTAGCGACAACACTTTCTGTGAAGAACCAGTCGGTTTGCACAAGCAGCCGTCAAGGTTTTCCGGGAGAAACAGGGACTCAACCTCGCACTGACTATGGCCGAAGACTCCCAGAGACCTCTACACTCACCGGCAATACTGCCGTGAAATAGTCCAGTTTCAGGCACCACAAGTATACACCCAGGCCTCATACGCAGTAGTCTGATTCCAAGAGCTTCCTTCACCTTTACCTCTACCTCTCGGCAGAGAAGAAGATCGCAGAACGCACCTGCAATATCCTTACAGTCCACATCAGCGGAAACAAGCGCGTGTAGAACCTTTAGCGAGCCGATGCCCGAAAGCCTCGTAAAGCTCCTACAAAACCACCAAATCGGGTATCCCAAATCTAATGAGAACCTCACATGGCAAGTCCTAAAGAGCCGCTATCAACAGACCTCAAAGCCCAATTAGAAAAACTTGCTACCAGCTCTTGAAAATCCCAACAATGCGCTTAAGCCCGAACCCTAAACCCCCTTAACCCCTGTTGTCCGAGTGTGGTGAGCGCCGAAATCCCTGAACCCCTAAACCCCTTAGCCCTAAACCCTAATCCAAGAAAAAAAAACCTGAACCCTGAACCCTTAAATCTACACGCCTAAGCCCTAAAGCCCTAAACCCCCCTTAAAACCCCTAACCCCTAAACCCCTAAATCCTCACCCCTAAACCCCTAAATCCTCACCCCTAAACCCTTAGAGGTCGAAAAAGGGGCGCTTAAAAAAACCTTAAAGCCCTAAACTCCCTAAGACCCTAAGCCCAGACCGACGCCACTCTCTGGGAGGCTGCCTCGGCCAATGCTCTGGGCCAGGGCTTCCTGGAACCCGACGATCTTCCAGGCGATGCCTTGTTGCTGTTCGCTCAGTGTGTGAGTATCGTATATATATATATATATATATAATATGTATGTATGTATGTATGTATGTATGTATGTATGTATGTATGTATGTATGTGTGTGTATGTATATGTATGTATATGTATGAATATGTAGAGATGTAGATATAGATACATATAAAGTTGCAAATCCATATACATGTGCATATACATGTACATGTCATTACATGTACATGTACTTGTACATGTACTTGTACACGTGTATGCATGCATGGATGCATGGATGCACGATGCATGCATGCATGTATTGTGTGTGTTCACTGTTTCTTTTCGGCATTTTGCAGGTTCAGCAGTAGTAGTCGTCGTCGACGAAAGATGATAGGTAGTAGGTTCTGAGAAAGTAATAGGTTATTGCGACCAATTGCCTCATTGAGATTTTCTTGGGCCCCTTTCGTCTGCTATTATGAGTGTGGCCCCAGTCCCAGAAGCCCCCTACCATCTAACCTACTTCAAACCATCGATGCTGCGAGCCCTCAGCTTCCATTGCTGTAGAATGGATGGGACTCTGCCCGAACATCACTTGGCTTGTCCGTGGCTGGTACCTACTGCGGGGGCTGAGCGAGGGAGGCATCATTTTCAGTGTTGGTTGGGCCGTCTGTCGAAGGAATGGTACCTTGAATCCGCAAGCCCTCATGCCGGTACAAAGCAGAACAAAACCTTCAAGGATGTTCCCTAAACCCTAGGCCAGAGACCTCGTCAGGCATGTCCCCGTTGCAAGAGCGTAAACCCTAGGCCCTAAACCCCCAAAAAGACGTGTACCCTTTGGTTGTCCTCTGTGGCACTACGTTGTTGTTCGCTGTTGTCTTTGAGACCACTGGGAGCATGCTGTAGACACCCGACCTGCCGACCAAGAACCTCGTCTGGATGCGTCCGAGTTGCGAGAGCGTAAACCCAAAACCCAAAACCCCTAAACCCTAAAACCTTATACCGTAAAACCCTAAACCCTAAACCCTAAAATCCTAAAACCCTAAAACCCCTAAACCCCAAATTAAGACCTGGGTTGAGGCCGTTTTAGCCAAGGCAGACTTCCTGAACCCAGCCGCTCAGCCCGCCATCGGCGGGTCTCCGACAGACCCCCGAGAGACTCCAATATCCCTTAATTAAGGAATATACCTTCAATTAGAATAGGATCCCTAATATGAGTTAAGGAATATTCCTTAATTAAGGGATATTGGGGTCTCTGACCCCGAAAACCCTGGCAACCCTGCGCCCTTCTCGCCAGGTGGAGACGTACCGGACTCAGCCGTAAGACAGGGAATTAGATATTGGAGTTTCCGAAAACAGGGGTACCACAAATTGGGGGTCCCTATAATAAGGATCCTACTATGTAGAGTACTGTATTAGGGTCCCCTATTTTCGGAATCTCCCATATATGTATGTAGCGGTCAGGTTTTAGGTTTCATTGTGGAGTTTGAGGTTGAGGGATGGTGATGCTGACGATGGTGCTTCGGAAATTTCATCGCACCGATATGGCACTGTTAGTGCCCACGGCTGGTGCAGGATATCTTTCAAATAGTGGGGTATATAATGGGTATATAATAGCTATATTAAGGGTATATACCTAGGGGTCCTTATTAAGGGTCCCTCCTTTTACCCTTGGAATCTTTTCTGTGCCTCACCGCCCAAACCTCGAGGATAAGGCGAACCGGCATTGTAGAGCTCTTGCACTTTTCCGACTGCATGTAGGAACCCAGAGACTCCAATATCCCTTAACTAAGGAATATTCCTTAAATCATATTCGGGATCCTATTGTAATTTAAGGAATATTCCTTAACTAAGGGATATTGGAGTCTTTGGGAACCTGATGAAGCAGCCCCTGGTATGTCTCGTGGCACGCAACGATCCCAAAACTCGGGGATTCAGAACTGGCGGTGTGTCGCCTCGCAGGCTCACAGACTGGATTGTGAGCTCCGAACCGAACGCCTTGCAAAGCATCCTTCAAGAGACGACGGAGACGCGTCGAGGTGTCCTTTTCCAGCCGGGGCGATGAGCCCAATATTGCGGAGGCAGTTCCGAGGGAGTTTTTTTCCCTTGGAGCTTAGTACTGCTGGGATGGTAAGTGTCCTCCCTGAGGCTCATGTCTAAGCGGCAGAAGTTCTTTCATTGTCTTGGTAGTAGATGCGTAGTATTATTTGGCTGTGCGTGCCAGCACATTTTTGGTTGCTAGCATTGTTCGTAGGATGGTTGTCGATCACATGTTTGCTGTTAGTGTCATGCTGTTCGTGAAACCTTTAACCATTTGTACTCATTCATCAACAAGACCACGCTTTCCATGGTTACTAAATCCCAAACCACAATTTTGCCTGCAAAAACGCCCGCAACAATTTTGCCTGCAAAAACGCCCACACCTACACTTGAACCTCTCGACCCTAAACCGCAAACCCTCAAGCGCCGATACCCTTTTGGATGTGATTCGTTCTAGAGTGTACCTCAACGGGCAACGGACGTCTATGCTTTAAGGTACCTTCCTTCTGCGCCAGCCAAACCTCCAACCCCAAACGTCCACAGACAAACCACGAAAAAGCCCGCTGCTCCCCCCATGAAGATCACGCAACGACCTCATAAGGCCCCTTATGCAATCATACCCTAAACCCTAAACCTTAAACCCTAAACCCTAGTGTGAGCGCCGAAACCCGAAACTAAAAGCAGGCGATGCACCGACTCTGGGGCTCTGCGACTTGGCCTCCAGCAGGCAAGGCGCCCAGGCCTCCGCCGGCCGCGACAGGGGGAGGCGGCTGCTGTTTTGCTGTTGCTGTTTAGGGTTTGGATGCATGAGGATCTACTGCAGAGTCAAGGCGATGCCTTCCTTTGTCTCCATAATTCCCTCTATCAGGATCATCAGTTCGTCAGCTCGTTCAACAGCGTATCCGACAGTGTAGCTCGTAAGATAATGCGTATTGTGCGTACTTAGCCTCAGCATCTCGCCACGAGTGCGGTGTGCTTGGGGATCCTGGCCGGGCGAGCACTAATCAAGCCTGTGGAAAAAGGTTTAGGGTTTAGGGTTGGGGGGCATATGCGTAGTCCAGTGGATGCATCAAGGGTTTTGGGATTGTTGGTGTTTGGGATGTTTTGGGCTTTCGGGATTTCGAGGGTTTTTGGGAAGATTAAGGCATGCCTGGTGGTCGGTCCCGGCACAGCGTCAGTTTCAGAGAAGGCGCACTTCTTTGCAATCTTCAAGATCTTAAAGTGCGATGAAAGCGCAAAGAGTCGAGTGCATTGTACGCATTGCACATCTGCCTAGGGCCTTTGCGATAGTTTTTGTGTGCCACTGCCGGTTCAAGCCTTGTCGACTGCCAGGGATCTTCCAAGGAGGCGTACCCTCAGAAGTAGAGCCTCTTGTGGGGAGGGGGGGAAGAGTGGCTCCTACGGCAGGCCTTGGCTTTGGAGTGGGGCTGCTGACCTTCCTCCTCTGCGCCGGCGTTGGCCTCACCCTGACGCTTCGTCCGGGGGCCCAGTGCTTGCAAAACCAGGGTCGGAGCGAAGGGATGAGGTATCAGTATAAGTATTATTAGTATTAGTAGTAGTATAAATCTGAATAATACATTAGTAATACATTATAGTATTAGTATTGGTATAGGAAGAGGGCCCTTCGACAGGAAGAGATAAAGAAAGAGACTTTGTCACCACAGCTAATTTATAGTACGTGTCATTGACTCCCCCGCTGAGACCACTTGAGCCGTTTAATGCTCAGGCACCCCCCACGGTGGCGAAAACGCGAAGTTCCTCTTACAGTTCCAGGCAGGTAGGGCCCCCAAAGCGAAGAGAACGTCTGCTGCCCGCTGAATACATCATCAAGTAGCTCGTGGTTCAACGGTTCCAGTCACCCTGCTGCTCTTGCTAGCTTGATCCGTGGCTACTGACGATTGTAGTGATGTTGTGGTTGACGATGGCGGCGATCATGACGGTCAATGATGGTGAGAGGAGCTGATGACAGTGATGGTGATGATGTTGATGATGGTGATTATCATGATGACGGTGGCGTTGGCGATGACGATGGCGACGATGACATCAATGATGATCGTGAAGATGGCGATGGCAATGATGATGGTGCTGTTGCTGGTGGTCATGGTCATGGTATGATCACACTTATCGACTGTGATGATGCTGCTATGAGGGCGAGAATGGTGATCACGCTGATCGTGGTAGTAATGACTATGACGACATGACGACACTGGCAGTGGCAACGGTGAGCGGCGGTGATGGGGAGGGTGATGACAATGTCGATGTCGATGACGATGATGAACCGGAAGCAGCCTTGTCATTGCTTCTGCTGGTGATGGTGATGATTATCGCCAAAGAAGGACGACCCATGCCTTCATGATGGCCGCGATGTTCGTCGAAATGATCGTAAGAACGGCGCTGGCCAATGGAGTCTCCCATGATGTCGAGACAGCGTGCTCTTCTTCGTCGTGCTAATGCTTGGCGGTAACACTCATGACCGCAGCACAGAAATCACTGCATTACCGAGTAACCAGCCGTAGCAACTACCCCGACAGCAAGCATGCTTCACATAACGGTGATGAGTTCAGTCAGTGATACCCGTAGTATTAGTACTGCTAGCGCGACGGAAGCCCAAGGTGACACACAGAAGTCACGGCTCTGATCTAGCTAGCATTAACAGTGAGAAAATATGCATGGCGGTGCGGCTCTAGGCTTGAATTTGACCTTGCTCCACCAGTTCCATGGTACTGTGGGTGGAGCACGGCACACCCCACATGAAAGCTAGCAGAATGCCAAATGCTACATGCACCGGTAATCAACCACGCTAATGGCAAAAATTACGAATGCCAAGGTGGTGACGGGCATGATAATCACAGGCGAAGGGGGAGTCATTCTCGTATCCCTGGCCTTTGAGTGCATCCAGGCGCTCGTCTATGCCATTTCATGGCGCCACACGCATCAGCGTGCCTTGGCGGCTCAAGCTCCGATGTGGGGTTTAGTGCTGCAGCTCAGAATCTCAAAAACCTAAGCCCTAAAACCCGATCTGCAATCAGCGCTTGTGTAACCGGACTGTACCGGGTTCTGCCAAAGCTGCGAATTGACGGATGTGTTCTGAAACTTCTGCCTCTGAGCCGAGCCCTATCAGCGTATGGTTGCTTGGGGAAGCCTATGGTTGTGACAATTTCGGTGATTTCACTTCCCGTACAGGACACCTATGTCTGTGTTTGGTCACTCAGTATATATTTTCGATACCATGCTGGATACAACAGGCTGTCATTCGGAATCTCTACATCTATGAACGAGGTCGCATGCCCTTTATGATGCCAAGCAGGTGGCTGAGAAGTCATATGCTCTTGTAGGCATCATGCGAGCTGGACTTTGGTCTTGCCTGCATTCTGCTTACGATGGCAGTCGCAAAAGACCTTGCCTGACAACCTTTACGATGCCAAGCAACTAAATTTCGAAGTATTGCGCTCTTGCAGGCATCATGTGAGCGGGAATTTCTTCTTGCCTGCATTCTGCTTGTGATGGCAGCCGCAATCGTAAATGACCTTGCCTGACAACTGTCCCTGAGTGCCAATTCACCTGCCCTGAGTGCCAATTCAACGCCAAGTCATCTGAATCGCACAGTTTTAATTCACGGCATTTTGCTGAAATCCTGAATTTGATGCCTTGCATGAGCATGAAATACTGCTTTAATTGGGAATCAAGTAAGTGGACAAACCTGAAACTGGGAGAGTCCTGCAATTGGCTTCGCGCTGTGTCTGATGAACTGCCTAATAACCCATCGGGTCGAGGCTGAATTCACCTGTATACTTCCTGACTCCCTGCTTCGTGTACTCAGCCATGCAGGAGGCAAAAAAAAACCCAACTTCGATTCGAGAGCCGAGAACCCTAAAGCGCAACTCCCCCGTGGTAAGTAAGTCTTGGTTAATTCTAAAGGTCTTCTTCCAGCAAGGGCGCCATCATCCCGTGCCCTGCTGCTGAGGATCCATCGTGATGCACTCGATTCGTATAGCCATCCCGGCACTCATGTTGATGATGATCAACAGGACGGGCGCGACAAGAGATCATTCGAAGTTTCAGGCACCGTCAATCAGAACAGGATGCGTGCCCTGAAGCCGAAACTATCCGACACCCTAAGCCCTACACCCCAGCCTCTAACACCCGAAAGCCTCCAGTCTGAACATACTTGGTTAAGCACAAAACCTTTCGCAGATTTCCCTGTTTTCCAGACCGTCGTCGGAGTTCATGATTCACCGAAAAACCCAAACCGTGAATCCCTGAAGATCTCGCCAAAACCGAGTTGCTCACCAAGGCCCCTGGCTTGTCCGAGAGTGAGTGCCGAATCGTGACCATTGCATCCCAAAGCGCTAAAGCCCCTGAGCCATAACCCCACCCTCTGTGAAACCTTCAAACCCCTCAAATTAGCTGTCAGCAGCACAGCTCTTTCAACTGTTACTTCGGAGTTGCCCTGCAATGCGGGCTTTGTCCTTGCTACTTGTAGGTAGGAGGGAAAAGAAACCTTTAAACCCCGAAAACTTGCTAAACCCTAAACCCTAAACCCTAAAAGACGCCCTGAGGATGCAGAGCTGGCTGCTCGAGCAGATTGGGCACCACGACTCCCAGCAGCTTCTTCAGATGTCGGGTGGCTGCACTTACTACTGCTACTGTACTGGTACTGGTACTAGTACCAGTACTAGCACTAGTACCAGTACTAGTACTTGTACTTGTATCAGTACCAGTACTAGTACGAGTACGGCTGCCACTGCTGCTACCGCCACTCCTATACACGGTGATGTTGCTTAAGTAGGTAGTCGGGACACCCATTTTGTTGTTCATTCGCATCTTCTTGCGAACGAATGTCTTGTTTTACTGCTACTTCTCGTACTCCTCATCATCGCAACTGCAGCGGCTATGTCTCCTGAAGCCATTCGTAACCGCAAGAACCCGGCCCACCATCCGAAGTGCAGGGTTGGGATGGGGCGCCTGTTGCAGATTAGGCCCTGAGGTGTAACTTGAAGTTGCAGGTTTTAGGATTTGGGTGCTTGCGGTTTCTGGCTTATGTAGGGGTCTGGCGCTAGATTTAGATCGCACATGAGGGAGCGGCTTGTCTTCTGGAATCCACGGTGTCGGGGAAAGTCGTACTGCATGCTCAGGACCGGGTTGACTCCAAAGCACGTCGTGGACGGGGTGGTGGTGTCTTGACTGCGAACAACCGGCTTTATGATTTCGATTGTGAGAACAAGGGTGACTCTTTTCTGGACGTACCCTGAGCAACCTGAACCAGAAAATGCTCGTGTCATGGCTTCCGTGAGGAGTACACCCTCTCGCTGGCCATGGTTTACGTGGCCGGGGCCCCACATTCCCAAATGATCTTTGCTCTGGGGGGCCAGGAGAAAGAGATAGTTGGTGATGATGATGATGATGATGCTGAGGTTTATTCTGAAAATTGTCACAACAACAGTACTGCTATCAGTGAGAATAATTATGTACTTTTCATTGTCGCCACAAGAGTCAATCACAAAACTCCTCAAAATAGGAGTCGCGCAGACCGCCATAGCAACAAACAGTAGCGTTGAGTAACCATAGTAATGGTGGTAATGTTTGTAAGAAGAATGGTATGGGTAATCGTCATAAGACTAGCAGTGGGAGTCAGACTGAGCTGCTTTGCCCCGAACTCCGAGCCCCCGGCCCGAAGCCCATGATCATGCTGGTCTGCATCATCGTCATCATCATCATCACCATCCTTCATCACCGTCACCTCCACGGCGGCTACGACACTCTTATTTTAAGATCGAGAGTGTTTCTGCCAGTATAAGTGTTGCTAGTTGCATGTGCGCTGGAGGAATACTGAAGAGCAGCTTGGCTTCCGGCAGCTGGCAAAACATGAGAATGAACATGGTTGAGGTATGTCCCTACGACCCGATTTTTGATGCGACGTGACATAGGGGTCTACACTGCAATCCCGCGACAAGTGAACAATTTCATAGTACGTATCGGTGGAAAGTTCTATCCGAGTCTAAGAGCATGGAGCAACGTGGAGCACTTGATCTTCAAGCCCTTAATCCCTACATGCGGTGAAGTCCTAAAGCGGAACAGTGCTCAAAGCGTAGATCCCAAAGTCCTAAAGCTCTACACCTTACAGCGCAAATCCCTGAATGAACCCGCAACCCCAATGATTACGATCTTTTTGGCTACTGCTGATACCCTTAATACGATGCTTTTGCATCTGTTGTTATCAATATTAGGATTGCCCACGATTGTGGTATTGCCATGTCGCGAATTTTCTGTATGATTGCCATGGCTATCATTATGTCCTGGTCTTCTGCTGATTTCCATCATTGTGACGGTTATTGAGGTCATGGTGTCCATGCTCTTCTTCGTCTGGCCCTTCGACCCCGATCTTGGCTTCGGAGGGCGGAGACCCGAACGCCCGAATAAATACTTGTGGGGTCGGAACAGTCCTTGTCTTGGCGTGCCCTTAAAAACCGAAATTGAGGTGGTTTATACCCAAACCCCATACTTATTAGCAATCCCCTATGTTGTCTTCTTAGTTTAGGTGGGCTTTAGGATGGAGTGCACGCTCCGTGCCAGAGCTCCGTGTTCAAAAGCGATTAGGGCTAAGGGGGTTTACGGGTTTAGGGGTGGCGTTTCGAATGCCTGGGAGAGAGAGGGGCACTGAGAAGCTACATTGTCAATTCGGGTTGGACGTGCCCTGGTTCGGAGGCCTCACAAGGTGGGATGAAGGTAGGTGGGATTAAGGATCCCTTATGATCGTCGTATCTCAAAAGACTTGGCTTTTTGGGGCGGGTTCTGGGAGTTCTGCGAAGGCACCAGAACCTAGGATGCTTGGACACCACGTGGGATCCCCGGACATATGCTGGCATAGGGTTTCACTTTGGGTTTGATGCGTGTTTGGGTGTGCTTGCGCGTGTCTTCGGAATTACCGTACTGGCATTCTTTCAGCTCGGAAAACCGTGTGGACACACACGTCACCGGGAGAGTCCCCGTAAACCTGGAACCCAGAGCCATGACCTCTTTGGAGGATTTAATTAGGCTCAAGTGTTTCTGAGGGTTTAAGCAAGGGATTTTGGCCTTAGGCTGTTTGGGAGTTTCCCAATATTAGGGGTACCTTATTTTGGGATCCTTATATATAATTGGGATTCTACTCTTTCGGGTGCTTTCTAAGGGTCCCCTATTTTCGGAAACTCCCATTTGGTTATCGGATGTAGCATTGCTTTGTGGGTTTAGATGCCAAAGGCTTTAGAGACTTTGCCCCCCCAGGCACGTGGCCGCAGAGAAGCAGTCGGGCTTCCGACACCTGCTACATGTCAGTGGGCTCTCGCGTGGAGCGTAGCTTGGCGTCAAGCCCTAGGGCCTACACTCTAAAATCTGGAACCCCAACATACCCTAAACCCGAAAAGTGGTGCTGTCAGTGTGTGAGAGTCCTTATCGACAGAAGGATGTTGTTTGGCACTTGTTTCTGAGACTCCCAGAGCTTGTAATTTGTTCCGCGTACACAGCGAACTCCTGCAAGGACAGTCGATTTCCAGCTGTCTCCTCATGTGTTGGTCTTTGACGAGCACGAATCTTTGTTTCTTGCTCAAGCCAGGAAGCAAGCCAGTGCACACTCCCGCAACAGTCATAGAGAGCGGTTTCCACTCTCGCAACATACCCCGTCCATCTTTAGTGCAAGTTCATCACACTGCCTGGGCTGTGCCGTGACCATGCTGGCGCCAGCTTACCTCTATGGCTGCATATGCGTCCCGGGCTCGGAGGGGGCGGGAGTTGTTGAGCTGGAGACGACACTTTGCAGCGCAAGAAAACATGTCTTCAGGCGGGCCTCGTCACCACGACACTGGTCATTGTCATCGACCGGTCGAGCATTCAGATGCTGAAGGGCTTGGACCGGACCTCGGTCTCCTTCCGCCCGATACGCCTTAAAGTCTAGTGCCGCTAATTAAGCCGCCAAGGTGTCCACGGGCACTAGTGATGGATTGAGCCGGCTGCAGCGCAGCTATCTTTCGGCTGCGGGGCGGCAAGACACATGGAGTGCCACTAGTAAGTAGCCCGACATCCAAAGAAACTTGTCTGTTCGTGCCCTGAGGTCTATTTGAGCGCGATGATGGCGGATTGGCTTCAGGGCCCCTTTGTGTATGCGCTCTACGCGTCGTACGGTTCCTCGATGCATTGGGCCCACTTTCAGCCTGCGACCTGCTGGACATGCGCGTATAGGTGCCCTGCAAAGGCTTCTCGCGTGAGGACAACGCGACGCTCTTCGTCGCGGGCTTCGGCAGCAGCGCCCTCTTCGGCACTTTCATCGGGGCGATGGCCGACAAGTACGGGCGCCGAAGGTTTGCAGCCTCCTGGCTTCACGCTGTCTGGGGGGCAGCCACTTTTGAGGCAGGGGCTACGGCTAATTCCATTGTGACAGCACGATGCGCAGTTCTCGTACGGTTGCTGGTGCAACTTATCTTTGTTGACCACGATAACAGCAGCAAGATTATTCATACATCGGATGATCAGCCGTAGTACTCGACTCCTGTTGGACTCAGCTCAGGCTCTCTACTGTGTGCTCTACTTCATGTGGCAGCCTCAGAGACCAGAGCATAGCCTAGAACCTCACAGCTCCAGAGCCGGAGTGCAGCAGCGAATTCTGAGGTCCTGCCTCACGAAGCACTTCAAGCTACTCGGAGGGTCTGTAGCTCTTGTAGGTCCTCACTTCTAGATTCTCCTAACTCTATAGCCTGGACCCCAGAAAGCGTCATGCATCGTCTTGACGCAAGGCAGTTGCTCGATGCACACCCTCCTAGACTCTTTCTGTTTAGTACCTTTCTCCGAAAGTGGGTACAGCGGTAAAACCCTATTCGTGCTCGTCCTTGCGAAGTAGGAGGAAGGATGAGTCATGCGGCTTGTGAAAAAGTCTGCGCTTCTATATATGTCAGTCCTCAAGTACTGGACTCCGAGCCTCCGAAGTCCCGAAAGCAGACTCCACTACGATTGAGGGGAAAAGCATCCACAAGGGACCCTTGCCCTTGAACCCGACGCCCTAAAATGCTCGGAAGTCTCTAAGCAGCGGACAAAAAGCCCTTTGAAAGAAGATCGAGGTCGATGTTCATGCTCCTTATCGGCCGCCTCACGGGTGGGATCGCGACCTCCCTCCTTTTCAGTGTGTGTCTCGCCGGACAGTTTAGCCCCCAGATCCAATCGCAACTCCCCAAAGTGCCCAATCCCCACACGCCAAACCCGAAGCCTCAAACTCATGGTCTTGGAAACTTCAGGGGTTGAGGCTTTAGTATTTGGGGCTGGAGATGGTTGGCTTCGGGTTCACTCAAGCTTCAGGTTTAGCGGTTCTAGCTGTTGGTTTCCATCTTGCAATCTGGCGTGTGCGGAGGGATCGGGGTCCTCGCTTCACAGTGCTTTGTGCAAGGGAACATAGCATTCTACTATAGTCTAGTCTAGTATTATAGTACCATAGTATTATAGTATCATAGTCATAGTATTATAGTATAGTATCTTCAGCCAAGGTTCGAGCAAAAGATCGACTGGAAGCTGCAATGCTTTTGTAGGTGCGGAAAGCCCACCTATATTGAGCTGCCAGCCCAGGGACCGAACCCCAGCAGCCACAGAATAACAGTGCCTGGACTGGACTGTCTAGTTGCAAGCCTCGGGTTTTTGAGTGTTGTGGAGTTCAGGGAATACTACAGTACTATACTTTAATGCTATGACTATGATACTATAGTACTATGATACTATAATACTATACTATACAATAATGCTATAATACTACAGTACGGACAGCTTTGGGGTTGCCGCGGAGTCGAAGCCATGGGCCTGATTCCCAGCAGCGACGACATCGGCCGGTGAGTGTCTGTGTGCACTGCCGCCTGCAGCGCATGTCGCATGGCACATCTCCTTTGGGAGAGATACCGCAGGTTGTCAGTTTCTTAAACTTGCAGCGCGAACCGGATGACACGAGCACTCGGGCGAACGATGTTCAGCAGACCTTCAAGGGAAAAGACATGCACCGTTTGGTGCGCCCAGGCGCGGGCGTTGCGAGGGAAGAGGTGCGGACAAAGCCGCAGGCCACGTTCATCCCTGTCCTTTCGGGGAAAGCGGCCTCTGACTCTGGCGACAAAGGTGGTTCTGGGGATGACAGTCTTCCGGAATCGGCTGGGTACGAGCTGCAGCTGGATGAGGAAGTGCTGGCAAGCGCACACACGGCCCTCATCCGGGAAGTGAGGAGCGGCAACGATTTCCGAGTGCAAGAAATCCTGCAAGTCACCCCCGCCATCAGGAAGGACCTGCTACAGCGCAAGAATGCCGATGGGAATACTGTCCTACACTTAGCAGCCAATGTACGGTCCAGCGAAAAGGGTGCTTTGGTCCTGTCCTACCTGCAGTACTCAAAAGCAGACTTGGAGGCTAAAAACATGCTTGGAGAAACCGCTCTTTTGTTGCTTAGCCAATCTTCGAAACAGTTTTTGCTTTTTGTGGTTTTGAGTTTCCCAATATTGAAAAACAGGAGCCCATGGAAAGGATGAAAGTATAGCATAGCCACACAACAGCACATTATATTGTAGTCAATAGTAGATCGTAGCACATCATAAATTAATCTATCATATTCTAGTCCTTTCTTCGGACCCAGGATAGCGGTGCGCCAGGCTCTGGGGGACGGAGCAGGGGCGGATGCCTTGAACCTCGTCTCGTGCCTTCTCAAAGGCCGTGCCGACCCGAACACCTCGGAGCTGCTGAACAAGGAGACTAGGCCGAATAGTAGTAAGTAATAATAAGAGTAATAACGATAAAAATTATCATGACAATAATATTGATACTAATAATTCTAACAATACTAATACGAGTTCCCTGCGGTGCGACATGTTCAGCTGGGCGGGTGGCAACAATTAATACTAACAATAATCACATCTTGAACGTTAGTCCTAATACTTGTACTTGGGCCACGTGGGTCACATGTTTGTTTAGAGCAGCCCAGGAGACTCCGCTCATGGAAGCCGCATGCTATGGTAGCAAGGCTGTGGCCCAGTTGCTGCTGGACTTCCAGGCGGATGTTGCCCAAACCACGGGCTCGGGTTCCACGGCACTGGATTTCGCCAACAGCGAGGGCCACAGTAGCCTGGCAAAGCTCCTTGAAGCGGCTCAAGCCCGGAAGGCGCGTCAGAAGTGCAAGAAGCCACTTTGGGAAGCTCCCTTCGCAACGACTATGGGCTTCGAGACCTGGTCTTCAGGGCCCCCTCCTAGACCGTCTCCTCCCGAGATGCAGTCTGAGCCGCGGAAAGCCGCACCGAAACCCGTGCCGGAGCGACCCGGCTTTATACCCAGCATTTTCACTTCGGGTCCACAGATCCGGAGCCGGATCTTCATGGCCAGTGGGGACGAGTTCACAGAGTTCACCAATGCCTACCAGGCCCAGCAGCCCCCACCCGCTGCAAAGCCACCGCCCCCCACAAAGGGACCGCCTCGTCACGAGGCCAAAGGCGTGTCTTCCGAGCACTTTGGGACGCTTGGGCTCCAGCCAGGAGCAACGGTGGAGGATGTCCGTGCCGCCTACCGCAAGCTGGCGCTGCAGTACCACCCGGCCCCGTGGGGGCACATCTGTGAACTTTTTTTGGTTGACCGGTTAATAAGCAAACTTTGTGGTCAACGCAATATAAGGGGCCTTATAATAATGACCTATACCATCCTGGGGGTTCCCTATTATAATGATGGTAGAATGGCACCCAACATCCTATTCTAATTGCTAAGGGCCCTGTATTAGTCCAACATCGACTACTAAGTCCAGGTGCTCTCGTCCATTAGCTAGAAGTTTTCAGACAAGACGCTACCAAGGACAAGAACCAAGGAAGGCAAGAAGCTTCGGAGAAGTTCCGCCAGGTGAAGCGAGCCTACGAGTTTTTGTGCGCCCGCTTTTCGCAAGCCCTCTGAAATCCGCAGCTCTTTCCGAACAAGAAAGGAGCACCCGACCCGGCTGGTGCTTCCTGCAGAGCGTCCCTGCGCCGAAAAGGGCAGAGGGCGAGGGGCTTGTGCTTGGAGGATCAGGGGACTTAGTAAGTGAGGCTGCAAGGACCTCAACTGGGGTTAAAAGTAAGTATGAGTATAGTTACCTTAATTATGACCTTAGTTACTACGTCCCATGATCCTTCAAGTGGGGATCTTGCAACCGAAGCTTCTGAGGCCCTCAGCTCTGCCCCTCCGCGGATGCATTTCTGCTAGCTTTGCAGGGCCTGCAGCGCCCGCCGTTGGCGTTGGCCATACTTGTTGCAGGGAGTCGCCGAAGAACCGGAAACACAGAACTGATTGAGTGAATTCGGCAGACTGTGGACGACTTGGCATCT